AGAGAGAGAGAGAGAGAGAGAGAGAGAGAGAGAGAGAGAGAGAGAGAGAATTTATCTTTCTGACATGACTCCAGTAATGCTACTATACAATGTGAGAAATCTGTATACATTTAGTGCAAGAACATTATAGGCACATCACCTAGAGCTCTCAGGAGATAGAGAGAATATAAATTAAATAAATAGATCTTCCCAAAATTATCTCCCTCTCATCCCATATAATATACACAGCCAGCCGCATTCAGACATCTTCTTTGGGCAACTATTAACATTCACCACCTTGAGTTATTTATAAAAAATAATAAAGGTAGGATGCAAATAAATACATCTCTGAAATCTACACCAACTGGCTGCACAAATCCATGCAACCATCATTCTGCCAAACTCTGCCTGTATTTAACCCTATTTTATCAAACTAATTATAAAATAAAAAGAATACAACAGTACAATGCAACTTCAAAATAAATGATGTAATAAAAGAAAGGAAAAAGAAGACAAGATGAATGTTATCAGGATTGTTTGTGTGAGTTGTACCTGCAGTATCTACAACAAATGGCTTTTCTTTTCTTTTTTAAGCCAACAGACGTGGTTCTCGTAAAGGTTGGCTTCATGCAAGACAAAACACCGGCAGAAGAAACCTTACAAATCCCAAAGCCAGTAAGGTCAAATTGTCACCTGGGTGGCAATTTGCAAGCTTGCTATGGGGTTTTTAGAAAGATGGTTAACAAGATAAAATAAAAAAAAGGGTTTCATTTAAGTGTAGCCAATACTTCAGCCATTTTGCTCAGCATGGCATTAATTCTCTCCAACACTGAAAAATCTTTCATCTGGGCTTAACAGGAAATCTACATGAATATTTTACAATACATATGTTACAGTTGTTCAAGTTTCAACCATTCCATTCTGCCTTCCACCACCCTCCCATCGTATTTCTTTCAATAGCCAAACAGTAATCTGTAGTCCGTACATGTGTACGGACTACTTCACTGGATGATTTTCAAGGTACACTTGATCCATTTAAGGTTTTTTTTTTAAATTAAAGGCTCTGAATGACTCTTTCCAAGAACCTTGATCCACCTTGCATACTCTAGCCAAGTGAAGTGAGGAAGGGACAAAACAGAGGTAGGACTTCTCAGTGGCTGGGCACCATTTACAGTGTGCCCTCCAGAAGCCTGTCAGCAGAAGGCCCACTGTGGAGTCTCTCTCTGGAACTGCCAGCTTATTTTTCTTTTCTCGAGCATTTTACAGACTGATATTTTAAACATGTAATATGAAGAGCATGGTTTTCATATCTATGTTTTAGCCTTTTGTTATTTCTCTCTCTCTGTCTCTCTCTCTGTCTCTGTCTCTCTCTCTCTATATATATACATACATACATATATACATATACACACACACACACACACATACATACATATATACATTATACATACATACACACACACAGACATTTCTTGATTTTATATATATATATATATATATATATATGTGTGTGTGTGTGTGTGTGTATGTATGTATGTATGTATGTATGTATGTATGTATGTATGTATGTATGTATACATATATATGCAAATGGACACTGAGATAAAAAAGAAAGGCACAATCATTCATGTACTCTTCCTCCCAGAACAAAATAGTATAGTTAAAACAGGTTCGCCACTAGAGTAAGGACTGCAATCTTAGTTTCTATTTAAATTGCCTTCTCTATACCTGGCACTCAGGCAAGCAAGTTAATTCTAGGGGAAGAGTAAAAAAAATAGAAGGCTAGAAGAAAGAACCCACTCCATCTCTAACTCACTGAGATGAAGTCTGGGCAAAAAAATGATAGACTCCAACTTTAAATGTAAAAAGGAACAGAGCAAGCGAAGTATTACACACAGGGGTGGTTAAAGTATTTATTCAAGCCTTTTTCCCCAGGAGACCCTGCAAATCTTGAAATATGGAGATTTGCATTTACATGTATTAGAAGCATTAATGTGACATTTCTTTTTAGGGAAGAGGGGGAAAGAAAGAGAAAAGCCTAACTCCCTCTCCCCACATCCCCTTTGTTGCTGTACATGACAAAATAGCAAGTGAATGTTTGCTTTGATCCCAGCGCATAAAGGGTGAAGCTTTTAGGCAAGGAGCGGCAGGTGATCTCAGCTCTTCTACAAGTCCTAATGCTCCTAAAAGCCACTCTTCCAGTTTCTGTAATTGGGCATCAGTAGTTAATGTAGTATTGACTGCATTACATGCTCCTGTGCATCCTCTCTCTCACTAATGCCAATTGCATCACCTTGTACATTTACCATATTGCTTAGCCAATAGCTGTTAAAAGCAACTCAAATCATGAATCATATAGGAAACTTTCAGCAAGACACGACATCCAAAGGAGACAATTTACAGTTGAGTTAATCTGGGTACATTAGCGAGACATGGATTCAGGAAGACAGACCAATTTATGTTACTTTAGTTTTACCCTTTATTGCTTTGTATAGTCAAATGAATGGAAGGGCACAGCGTAAAAAAGACGGGGGGGAGGAGAGAAAAGTCAGAAAGGATTCTTTTTCAAAAAGGGTCTCTAGTCTAGTGCAAATAAGCCAAAAGGTGTGAAGTTGATGCCATGGTCTCCTACAGGATTCATGTGTATTTATAAATAGCTTTTTTTGCCATAAAGGTTGATTTAAAACAAAAAAGGTTTTAAAAAATTGGATCCCTCTTAAGAATGGTCAACTACAAATATAGTAATTAAATCAGAGGCTAGTGATCAAGCAAGATCTTTTCATCTCTAGGTTCGTAAGTGAGTTTTGGCAGCCATATCTCTGCTCGCTCAGAGCCCTTCAACCCATATATACATTAAAATACATAATTCAGATGATCAGTTCCCCTACAAAATTTAGGAAGCAAAGCAAAATACCTGTTGTGTGTCCTTAAATATAGGCAACCTGGTTGAACGTTCTGCTTACTTTGAAGACCAGAAAACTACAGCCTAGAACCATGATGCCAAACCTATGGCACTCATGCCCTCTCTATGGGCACATGCACCATTGCCAGATGCTCTTCTGGTTTCTGGTGCACACATGTGCACTGGCAAGCTGGTCCGCAGGTGCCAGAGTGCTGGAAAATGGTCTGAAAACAGCCCAAAAATGTCCTGAAAATGCCCCCAAAATGGCCCTAAAAACACCCTGAAAAATGCCCTGAAAAATGGCCTGAAAACAGCCTGAAAATGGCCCGAAAAATGATGTGAAAACAGCCTGAAAAATGCCCCCAAAACGGCCAAAAAACAGGCATGCGCAGGCTGTCAAGCTGGTCTTCGGTTTTCCAGCCCTCCAGTGTGCACACACACACTCACGCACATTCACGCACAGTTTGGATACTCGGTGCGGAAAAGGTTCGCCATCACTGGCCTAGAACAATGACTGAAAAGCATTGAGAAGGACCCAATTTTTACTTCAGCAATAATTCATGATAACTAATAACAACCACAGCAACCATTAGAACCCAAATGTTCCAGAAGACCTACCGGCAAATGTAATTTCAGTTCCTCATCTGTCCACTAGCTCCTGGAGATGGTGGGTGGATCTGAAAAATTACTTTTTGTTTTAAGTGTTTCCAAAGCTGGTTAGGACTCTGGGATTTTTTCCTATCATCAGTCAATCTGCCGGATCAGAAAGGCAATGGTTTTAGAAAAGACCACCCAATACATCTTGGCTAAGATATCTGTCTCTAAGGCCCAACTCTGAGATTAGTCTGGCCTGTTCTCGTTGACTTTTCGGAAAGCCTTTGTGTTCAAACCTGGGGCCCTAAGGATAGGTTAGACCTCATTTCCTGGTTGAATAGGTAATAGATTAAATAAGTGATGGCAAACCTTTTCAGCACCGAGTGCCCAAACCAGAATGTGTGAGCATGTGCGCATGCCAAAGCACTGGAAACCCAAACACCAGGTGTACATGTCTGTTTTTGGTCAGGTTTTTTTGGTCTTTTTTGGCCATTTTTCAGGCCATTTTTTCGGGCCTTTTTTAAGGCACTTTCAGGCAATTTTGGGGTTAGGGTTAGGCTGTTTTTGGCTGTTTTTAAGGCCATTTTCCGGCATTCCAGTGCTGGCTGGTGCATCGGAAACCAGAAGAGCAGCTGGTAACAGTGCACATCCCCACAGAGAGGGTTCTGCACTGAGGTGGCGCAGTGGGTAGAGTGCAGTACTGCAGGCCACTTCAGCTGACTGCTAGTTCAGCAGTTCAGCGGTTCAAATCTCACTGGCTCAGGGTTGACTCAGCCTTCCATCCTTCCGAGGTGGGTAAAATGAGACCCAGATTGTGGGGGCGATATGCTGATTCTGTAAACCGCTTAGAGAGGGCTGAAAGCCCTATGAAGTGGTATATAAGTCTAACTGCTATTGCTATTGCGTGCCACCTCTGGCACCGTGTTATAGGTTTGCCATCACTGGATTAGATCATGCAGTATGCTTTTATTTTTGTTTTCAATAATGTATTCTGCACTTTTAAATCACTTGGAGTCACATAAAAGTAGAACGGACTTCTTCACACGTCAAGCAAATAAATAAACTCTGTCCCTTGGCATTTAACAATAATAATCAGAATTTAATAGAGCCACTTTGATATAGTGGTTAAGACCACCGGCTACAAAAACAAGAAGATTGTGAGTCCTTGTGCCATAGGCACCAAACCAGACCTTGGGCAAGTGACACTGCCCTAAGAAGGAAGCAATGAAAACTACTTGTAAAAAAAATCTTGCCAAGAAAATTACAAGAACCTATCCAGAGAGTTGCCAGATGTCAACACTGACTGGAAGGCACCAAAAAATTCTGAATTTGGTCTCTCAAAGATATGGTCAGATTTCCAATAAGGTAATATAAATAAATTGAAACAATACAGAAATGTAGAATTAACTGATTGCTAAGTTTTATAGGTCATTCCAAGGAATGGTGCATCTGTACAACAGAAACAAGAATTTTGTCCAGTATTTTTTCCAATAAGATGACAGCTTGTCACTGCCCGGAGTTCATGACATAGTGGCTGCATATTTCTTGGTGTATTCAATTCTGTTATTTAGATGGAACACAATTAGTTAAAAATGAACAAGTGAAACACTTGGGCTGCAGCCTGGAATCCACTCACAGACAATCCCAATAGCTTTAATTGTTAGGCGATTCAAAGATTATGGTTTTATTGGACATGCAAGGCTTGGAGGAGTTACCCAGAATGTGCTTCTTTCACAATCATGACAATAAAAAGCAAATGGGCCCTTAAAAATAATCCACAATCCAGGTGCTTTAGGTCTACGAAAGGCCCATTTAATAAGATCCCAATTTGTCTTTAAAAAATATCTTGGAGCTCCCTTGAAATGACTGAATGCCGGACTATGGCCTAAACAAAATTGATCAATTTAAACAGCTGTGGTAGAGCTACAGCCATTGGCACCGTCATTAACAATTTAAAGCATGGCTGCCTTTATCTTCCTTCCCAGTTACACACTCATTATACTTGCTTTTATTTATTAGAAATCAAGTCTGCTACAATATGTTTCCTTTTTTTTAAAATCCAAATTGAACCCAGCTTTTTAAGATCACCGTCCTTGATTGCTTCGTGAAAAAGGGCACAGCAGTTGTGCTTGCATATTTGTGATTCAATTCTCTTTTCTAAGCATATAGTAATATTTTTATTCAATATAAACATGAGTCTGTCAAGTGACTTCCTTTTTAGGATTTGATCTTTCAATGCTGTGCAGAGATTTTGAGCTTTTAAAAAATATATCTTAAAATAATGGACTAGATCTTTATTTGACACTACATTAAGCCACTTGCAGAAGAAATATTCACACAAGCCATAATGTGAGGGGAATAGCAGGTAAGGAAGAATAATAATATTAACTACTAAAAATCTTGAGATATTTGCAAATTGGAACATCAAATGGTAAGTAAGGCTATGCATACATTCACATTTCAGCAAGATGTTCTAAGGATAACTGGCCAAAATACATTTATATGCTTTACATATTGAGTTATTTTTTATTAGCAATTGCAATAATTAATCCCCAATTTTAAATGTAAATGCTACTTGGAACTAAGAGCAATTTCTTTCATTCACACCCTTTGTACAGTTTATATGCCATCTGATCAAGTATTCCACTTGAAGCAGTCTTCAAAATCTATTATCAATTGAATGCATTAGCTTTGATATACACAAATCTCGCTTGTCTACAAAATATTTTAAACTGTTAAGAGCATAATGTAATATTAAGTTTAGATCTGTGCTGGAGATCCCAATGAAAAGTTTATGAATAGAATTGAGAAAGTTATGTCTCTTAAGCAAAGTTGCTTTACAGGGTTGTTGGGAGGTCAAAAAACTTCCTGACTTCTTCAAGAGAAAACCGGACAATAAAATTATGAAGAAATGAGTATCCCAAGCCTAATCTTATTTATGTGGCAAAGCATCAACTGGATGTTATAAAAAAAAGTCCAGTAGTGATCACATTTACAAAGCATAGCTACCTCTGAACCTGAGATGTGAAAAACTAAAATGCTTCCCAAATGAAATCAATTAATCCTCCAACCGTGATAAATTCCTTAACCATTTGAGAGACAGATATTTCAGACTCTCTGACCCTTTATCACCAGACCTAATGGACTACTTTATTAATAATGTACTGCTCTTAAAAGGAACATTTTTTGAAGATTGTGTCGTTCCAGTGTTTTGCAAGAGCTGCTACAGTGCAGAGATTGATATTTTATCATCTCTCATGAGTACAGCATGAAAATTGAATGCCAGTCTGTAGAAAGATAAAATCTGTATTCCTATGTATTGGGGATTCTTCCCTATAAGTAATGCAATCTTTATATAATATACATACATACATACACACACACATACACACAGTATACATACTTCCCAGTTACTTCCATCAGGATTCACTAACCCTTTTCCCAACAAATCCATGTCCAAACTGGGTAGTTTTATACAGCCACACTCAAAACAGCAAATTCTGCCATTCTGCCATTCTGAAACAGCAATTATTCTCAAATTCCTGCTAATTTCAATTAAATCTAACCACAGTCAATTACAGCCTTAAAGTTACCATCTTAAATTAAAGAGACGCTATCTTCCAAGTATCTTCCTAACATCAGTTTTTTGTATGTGTCAAGCACGTTACAAGTTTTGTGTATCCTAAACTATCATAGAAATAGTCCCATATTTAAAGGAGGTGGGAAATGAAAAATACTAACTTACTTAAGTATACAGATAGTAAATATGGATTTGGGGATCCAAATTCTGGAGAATAAATAATGAACTAATTCATGGAAAGAGGAGAATCTCTGCAGTCACAAAATGTCCCATCATAGTTGTACGAATGCCTTATTTCCTTTAAAAAAAAGATGGATAAAATGGATTGGCAAAAGTAGCAATTAGATTTGATATCAATCATATCCTTTAGGTATGAATTTGTTTATTACATGTTTTCTTATTTACAAACTTTCACCAAGACAGAAACAATTCCCAGATATTTAGTCTACTGGAATAGCTTTTTATGGGAACCATTAAGACAGATATGTTATCAATTATAAAGGACCAATACATATTCAGATATTGAATCTCCATCATCGTTATTCTTTCAGCTTACAAAGTTTTTAACCAAGAATGTGACAGCTAATATCATCAATTTGATATGCTCTGTTTTCCATATGTCACAATGCTTGTCTAAGCGCTACCTAGGGCAATCAGTATGAAGATTTTCATTGATTTTTCATAATTTTTTCTAGATCTTCCAACTATCTATTCCTACTTACCTTTACTATATTTCAATTGCTATCATCAATAATCAATCCAGTTAATAAACTTTCAAATAAAGTACCTTTATTGTTCCTCCTGGATTGTATAGTTTTCTGGAACAGCTGCATTATACAGTCCCTTGGCAGCAATAGCTTCCTCATTCAATTTATATTTTGCCACATGTAATTAAAGATTAGTTTTCATCTGTTATCTCATGGAAGCATGTCCATTTCAAAGCAAGGGGGCTTATCATGGGAAGACTGAAAGCACTCTGCAATATATATATATAATTACTTGTTCAATCGTTATATTGTATGTGTGCTATGGTACACGTGCATTTTTAAGATGGAGAGTACTTAAAATGACATTTTAGAACAATTCCCTTGTTCATCTTCATGCATTCACCATTAAGATGATAGGTATCTACCTCTTTGTCCTACCTCGCCTCTTGTCTATTAAGTGCTTTCTTAAATAAGCTAATGATGTCTCCCATCAAGTGGATTATACCTTCTTGGTCAATTTACCAACAAAATTTTGACTTGTGATATTATTACAGAAATCTATGCAACACTAAGTGCCTAAAGCTCTTTAAAAGATTTCGATTGTCCCCACCACTGTAATGGAATTATCTTTCTTCTCTTCAGAATCTGTAGCATAAATAAACTTTGATAATTAATCTATTACATGTATTCAAAATCTTTTCCCAAAAGCTTTAATTTCTGTAACCACCTTTCTTTTTTACATAATCTCCTCTGCTTCTCTATTTTTCAGTGTTCCCATTGTATAGCACTTCTTCTCTCAAAATAATGTTGAAATAAATGTGAGAAAGAATCCAATTTCCTCCTAAACCACTTCCATTTTCTAGCAGAATTGTATGTACCATTTATGCATGATAGTTGTACTCATTTTTATGTGAATACATCCGACTGGGTTGAATAAATAAATGTTGAATAGACATTACAACAACTCATTTTTATTAAAGAAGTAAAATACTTTTACTAGGATGCCTAAATAACATCATGATTTTTTTTCTAAATTCTCAAAATGAAATAAATCGGAAGCATCAACATGATAACAATACAAAGGTTGAGAATTCAGTTGAATGAATTTTAAAATGAAATATAAGATTTATGTGCTCAGCATATTTTGCATCGGCTTTTATTTTAATTACGGTAGTTATATTTCAGCTGCAGATATTCTCCACAACTTTCAAAATTGAGTCCCTATTTTTTAAACCAGTTCAATTTTGATATACCATATACTTAATTGCTAAATATTACTATCAGGATGATCATTTCTACTTCATTTTCATTTTGATCTACTACATTTGTGATATACTACTACCTACATTTGTGATCTACTAGCTAATTTCCTCCTTACTATATGCTTCCATTTAAACTTGAATCAGCCAAATTTAAGATTTCATTCCAAGAATTTTAGTGTCTATTCCCCCCCCCCAATTATACAGCACTAAATAGAATAGAGATTATCTACTTACTGTACATCTTGCAACTGCAGGTAATTTACTAGAAATGGTTTTTCCAAGTTATGCAAAATGCCCATGTTTGTTACTCTAACCTCTCTCACACACCAGATCTGCTTAAAAGATGAAAGTTTGTCAATTGTTATATGCTGGAGATGGGAAAAAAGATTCATTTATTCAGACTTTTCCTGTTTGATGAAAATGTTTAGTATAAATTCCTTTTCCTAAATTTCTCCATGAAGTCCATTTTATTTCGCTTTATGTAATAAATCTAGCAGACAATTCCTATTGATTTCAGCGAGTTCTACATGAACATGACAACCCTCTCTTTGATCTTTCCATGAAGCATCTTCTTACTTTAGCACCAAGCTCTGCCTCAAATGTGCAACACTTTCAACTAAGTGTGAACTAAAAGGGACAAGTAACCGCTAGCATCAAATGTTTATTTTCCTTTGCGTCCTGAAGAGGGTCAAAAAAGGGAAACCAGAAGTTAGTGTATGCCAACAAAATAAGTAAGGGCAGCCTGCCATACATTTATCCATACTGTATGTACATTAATTTCTGACCGTAAACAAGCTTCCTTGTAAAGTTGTCAAGGAAACTTTCTTCCCAGTTTAGGATAGCAAAGACCCCAATGCCGCACAACATTAATAACCATCAGTTCAAGACTCATCTAAGGCCCAACTTTATGCAGTGATTTTTAAACTTTGTTTGCCACCCTTTCTAAATCGCTTTTTTGCCACAAACTATTTGATTCAGCAACCTTAAAATTCCTCTGAGAATTATGACTGCTATTATGTTATTATCCATTAGAGCCATTCATCTAGTATAACCTCCAGGCAAAAGGATGTGGAGAGTTTCAGTAGCACTTTGAAAACCTGCAACACCTTTTTGACAAAATGGGATTTTGAAAAAATGTACACCATTTTATTCTTCAGCATGCTTAGTGTGAGACACTTTAAAAACAGCTTTTTTACTTCCAACCTGAACTGTGCCAAAGTCTTTTTTTGTCCCAAAACAATTCTTTGCCACTTTTATATATAGTCTAATAATCTACTGATGACTCAGAAGAGGCTACTAGAATAGTTAATTCTGGACATCTTACTTTTTAATCTCTGGTACTTGATTGGAATTTTTTTTTAAAAAAAACACCCAAAAATTTGGATATGGTGTAGAACCGGAGTTAATTCCGAATTCTAAATTGTAACTTTTACTCATCCATCGGATTATCTGTCCAAATTAAGATCTTTTGATATAGTAACATTACTGAAGACCTCAAACATTTAAAAAAATAGTCAGAATGGTAAACTAAATTAGATTCAATGCAAACTGTTCTATAAGGTCACAAAACCTAATGCAACATTTTGTTTCAGTTTGTTGAGGGCAAACTGGGCTGTTGTTATGATGTTCAGTAAATTAAATTACGGAAGTTTATATTTTTAATTTATCCCATAACAGATTTTTATGGATTACATATTGACACCTGCATATAAAATGTAACCATTTTTGTAAATATATGCAAAACATCTGCCACCTTTAAACAAACATGGAAAAAAACATTTTTGCGCAGAATATCTAGGTATTATTCTAGCTAAGTGGCACGCTGTGTTAACTAAGCATTTTGGAAAAGGATATTAAGTAAAACAATTGATCGGTGTTGTGAGAAATATATTATTTTGGTTACACACTGCTTAAACAATATAGAGTCTGATGACACCTTTCCTGACTAACAATTATTATTAAAAGACGTTTTCATGAACTGCAGCCTACCACAACAGATGTATTATGCCTTTTAACAAAATTTATTGGTCAGAAAAGATGGTATCTGACTCCTCCTGATTTTGGCTACCATAACCAAACTATGTCCTGCTCCTACAATATCTCAAATACCTGTAATACCGTCACCAGATAAAAAGTTCCAGTGATCACTTTCTTGAACAGCAACATTAAAAAAAAAAAAACCAGTATCTTAAATAAGATGGAAGGGGAGGAAGTAATCTTGATTTCCCCCCTGAAAACCTGAAAACCCATATTTCCCATATTTCCCC